ATGTAGGGGACGTCTAAGACCTCTTGGTAGGGTTGTGGATGAAGTAGAATCCCCAAAATACGAGTCCAAAACGAAGTAGTAATCAAAAAAGCAGAAATCCCGGATATCTACAGGTGCCGCGACCTTGCGCCAGGTCTCGAGTCAAAAACATCTAAAGTGCTTCCAAAGCAATTCTTCTCCATTCCGAACTCTTTTTCAAGTCCAATACCAATTTCCAACTCATTATGAGCTTCCAAAATAGAATTTCAATTTGATATAGGTCTCCAATAGCATTCCAAACTTGAATTCTTCTTGATGTTCACTACAATTAGAATTTTTCAATACTTCAAATACTTCAACAAAAGAATTCGGATCACCCCCAAATTCTAACAAATTCTATTTTCAACCTAAATTGTATCTNAAATACTTCAACAAAAGAATTCGGGTCACACCCAAATTCTAACAATCTCCACTTTGACACGAATTCTAACCAAGGAATGAACTGACTTCTTCTACAATAATTAAAAATTAATTTCTCCAACAGAAAATACAAAACTCCACATTTTCCAATGAATCCAAGCACCACCCTTTTAGAATTATATTAGATTCCCAAAAAATCATATAGATTTTACAACTTACCAAAATGGGCTATAACACACCCCCAAACAGAATCGACATCAAATGCTTCTAACGAAGGCTCCTTGCTAGATTGAACACTTTATTCTTCACTTAAAGCATGCTCAACAAAATTAACATTCACATACCTTGTTCTAGTGGATCTAACTCTAGCAACTGAATACAATGGCACCGCAGGTGATGGTGGCAAAGCGGTATTATCCATGTCTTCAACACTCTACTGAGCTGTATTCTTCAAATATGACCATTTATGAGCTCCTAAAGGTATTGTACCAAATTGAATGTCCATCATGGTACTGAATATGTGCTGATTGACTCTTTCAAATTCTGCACGACCCTGCAAGATGTATAACCGAGACATTTTCTATCCCTCTAAAATAACTTGGGCACCCTTACAAACCTTCAAATCTCCACCTCCACCAAAGAAATCATTACTCTTTGAATCAAGGATACACAAAGATATGATATTCTTCTTTAAATCTGGAATATGTCGAATCTGGCCAAGTGTTCTAATTGTTCCATCCAAAAACTTCAACCTGACTGTACCAATTCCAGCAACTTGACAAGATGTGTTATTTCCCATAACCACGACACCTTTGGAAATGGTTTCATATTATGTAGCAAACAAGTCTTTATTAAGACACATATGAAATACACAAGTTGAATCAAGAATCCAATCATCTTCTGATTTAGACTCGATGTCAGAAATAGCCAAGAGATCTCCATCACTTACAACGTTCTCTGCGAGGACTGCTTCACCTGAAATATTTGAATATCTACTTGCAGCTATCTTTTCTTTATTCTGCAATTTGTAACAATCCTTCTTCAAGTGCCCATTTTTCTTACATTAGTTACAAATTTGATTACTAGACTTCAACTTCGATCTGCCCTTTCTAGAACCGCCATGAGCAACCGACCATCTCCATCTCTAGCCTTAGAAACCAGATACTTCATCTTCTCTTTTGAAAATAAAGCATCATAAACCTCCTCAATGATGAGAGTATCATGACTATATAAGATCGTGTATCTAAATGAAGAAAGAGAAACGGACAATGAACACAATATGATCAAGGCCAAATCTTCTTCATTATACTTAACTTCTAATGTTTCTAAATTAGCGACGATCTCCTTAAATACAATTAGGTGATCTTCCAATAATCCTCCTTCTGCCATGTGATGAGAGTATAACCGTTGTTTGAGATGCAATTTGCTTGTAAGACTCTTGGTTATGCATAATTGCTCCAATTTCAACCACAAAGCAGCTGTTGGCCTCTCCTTTAAAACGTCCTGAAAAATGAAATTTGATAGATGAAGATGAATGTGAGAAACTGCCTTTTTATCCTTTCGTAATTTCTCTTTCGTGGTCAAAATTGCTGGCATCCTATCAATCCCCAGCAATGCATCATCTAATTCCAGCTGTGAGTACTGCACGCATC